CACCTGCTACATTGCTGACTTCAAACGGCCGCCAAATCTGCATACGACCTCCGTTTTTGGCCCATGAGTATTTGATGGAAACCTCTCGGAGTCCTCTTTCCATCGGATTTGGCCTCACCACCAAATTCCATCCAAGTCATCCGCAGATGAAAAAACAAGGTACTACGTCACCTGTCATGGGCCTATGGGCTTGTAACTTTGTTTGGAACCCCGGCCCAAGTGGGGCCCATGTGGGGTGCGCCCCAACCAGGTGGAGGACGACCTAGGGTCCTCCCACCTCCTTAAATAGTTAGGTACCCCTTGAGGGTTTCTCGGGTTTTGTTAGATTAAAGTTTAGCCTTTGTTACTTGCTTGCAGCGCGCGTGTCGGCTAGACCATCCGTCTGCTTGTTCTTCGGAACCCCAACTTATCTTGTGTATTCATTCCTATTTGCAATATCAGATTGCTTTTATCTTGTTCTTGCTTGTTTCTTTGATTTGCTTGCAGGAATAGGGTTGATTTGCACCGGCGAGATCAACAACCCATGGAGAGGTGTATCGATCGCTAAGGCGCAACACAACAACGTCTTGTACGGTTGTAGTCGGGTCGTCAACGTTTCTCCCAAATCATAGTTATCTCAACTCACCGAAAGATCGGGCCAAACAACAGTCTTGAGTGTCGAGTGGAACTCAGGGTTCATCAGATGACCTGATATGCTATTTGGTGCCTTTTAAGAACAAGTGCAGCTTCTTCTCTAGGAAGAAGAATGATGAGTATGTGCCACAGTGCCAGTTAATTTACTTCCAATCATCCTTTTTTTTAAAAAAAAAATAAACGTGGCATAATCATTAGTGCTAAGGCACGCTTTATGTTGGCTGACAAGCTTACAACTATATGATATCTATGTGCAAATGTGTGATATGTAAATCGACTTATAAAAGCCGACAGAAATTGATAAGATTGCCCTGCAGCCACTGTTACCATGCGGATTGCATAACTCGCTGGCTTAAGATCAACAAGGTAAATTATACTTCTTTATATTTGATGTTGTACCTCCAAAATGCAAAAGAAGTTTCTGTATTCTGTGTATAGATACTAAATGCATATATGCGAACAAGAGTACCTGTAACGTCTGAATATTACTCAAGAAATTCGATACATAGAATGTGATACATTGTCTGAACTTTGTCTGACGGGCTGAATGTTGATTGCTTTGTATACAAACTTGTCTTGTCTGGTATAGGAAGATTATCCTTCTGGATCTGATTTTATGTTTCTTTTCTTTCAGGCATGCCCAGTCTGCAATGAGGAGGTATTTGGGTGAATCACAAATCCAAAAATTCTAAATAGGCCTAACATGTCCATCGAATGGAATATCGGAGTATTTTTCTCATGAATTTCATAAGGTATGTTGTATCCCTCTTTGGTTCAAATTCATTCAATATTATATTTCAGTGAGTAGTGACGAAGTAACAATGAAACAAAGTTCTAAGAACTTAGGAATCTGTTTGTGCCAAGAAAACTTTTTAGCCTTGTAGCCAAATTATTTTGTGATGCACACATAATTGCCTACATTTTCTCTTAAATGCCACTTTTCATGAATAAGGACATGATTTTAAAGGTAGATTACTCTGTTGGTTGTACAATTTATTCTATTAATTGCTAAAAGAAAAAAAAGACTATGCTGCTATATTTCCCTTGAAAATATTGTTGTAGTGGGATTCTCCTACACTTCTAAGCATACATCATGAAAAGAGAGATAGTGCCAAGTGAGCAATGAGTTCTTTTTAGGAGAAATTAGCAAGTTAATCTGTTCTCTAACTTTACAATGCAATAATGCAGATGGCAGATGTTGAACTCTTTATGTTATATTTCAGGTAGAGAAGAAAAATGTTGTCCTGAAATTAGAAAGCGATAGATTGATTATGTTTGACCATTCTACTCATTTAGCCAAGCTTCTATTACCTTTTGTTACAGCTGTCGAAAGGGGCTTGCTTAAGAAGCAATATTAACCATGATGGCATTTGCAATAGAGAGAAATTTGGAATTCACACTTTCAGAGCAAAAATTATTCTCCTGTGACCTCTCACCTATCACAAGAACCCCAACCACTGGATGAAGCGGGCATAGTACATGTATATGCAATAGTAGCACCCATTAAGAATAGGTATGTTCCAGTGTCTCTCGTGTTGCTTTATTGTGTCGTTAACTCCATCTTGGTAAATGATAATCTCTGCTACTGTTGATGTTTTGCACTAAAATTTTCTCTTTCATGTCAATTTCCATTACAGTAATACTCATTGTCATCTAGACACACCAATTGATAGATATCTAGGATGGGGATTAAATAGGCCTAACAAAAAAATACAGCTTGACATTTACCACTCAAAATTTACTCCAAACCAAATAATATAGAACAACAGTGTGCATGAAGTACTACATTGCATCATGTAAATGACAAACCAGCAAATGAAATGTTTATCATAATGTTGGTGAGTAGAAATGTGTCATGGTACTTGCATTGTTGACCAAAATGTGTAGTTGATATGTGCCTGCATCATACAGATAATAATATGACCTCTGAAACAGAAGGATAGAACCCTCTTGCACATAGGAATTGTTATATCAAGATGGACCCTTTTTTGGCGGGGAAAGATGGACCTTATTAACTGATATGAGTAAAGTAAGCTACTGAAACACATGAATATAGCAAAATCACAACTCCAACAATCTAAAACCGATTTGGACTGGAAAGAAAGAATGAAATAACGGTACAAAATTCAATTTCCACGAGAAAGAGAATATGAAACATTAATTTATTTACATGATCAAGCTGAGGCAGGGCTATCTCTATTCTCTATGATCAGTCGCCCACCACTGTTGTTATTGGCAATAAACAGAAATATGTGGTTGTGCACAACTCACAGTGCTGCCCTCTCCCTGATGAAGCTACAAACCATTAATTTCCCATAAAATGCATATACTACACATGCCTTCGTTGAAAATGTACATAACATTCATAGAAAATAAGACAACATAAATAACACCAGGCCAAAAAGATACAATTAGCAAACTAAATTCGTGTTCACTTTTATAGTTACTTGTTTTATTGTATAGCTACATAAAGAATAAATCAATTATTTACAAATTGCAACTTGTATGAGCGAACCACTTATGCATGTTAACAGAATTGCATGTATAAAGTATTAAAAACTGCCTGATAAAATGAGAATTAGTGAATAATTAATTTGCCCTCGTAAGAACCACTTATGCATATAGCAAACCATATTCAATTATCTCAGGGTCAAAAACACATTTTCTGAATGCTTTTAATTTTTGTTCAGTGTACTATGAGCTGAGTAATGTAGTAGTAGTTTAGGTTTTAAGATTGTTGCATTTCTCAAGGATCAATTGGATTTGCTTGATTGGATTCCCGTAAGTACAATTGATCAGACTAGATATGCAAAATTGATAAGAGGGAAATTCATCTAAACCTTTTGTAAACCTTTTGGCGTGGGAACTGGGAACTAACTTATTCTTTTAGGTAGATACTGCTTTTTTAGCCAGGATTCAAATCTGGCTAAGAAACATGGTTGGTGATAGGTTACAAACATGTTGTGTCAGAGGCATGTTGTGCGTGTTATGTTAATCAGTACTAGCTTCTTACATGCATTTCAGTGTTCAGTTGAGTGTTTAGTTGCAGAGAACACTCTATTTGGTTCAAATTAAATAGAATGTTACAGTGTCTGTCCAGTAGTAAAAATACATTCCTGTTTTTTCAAGGAGAAAGTAAAAGAACTTTTAATCATGCTCAGAGACCGAGGGATAGTCATGCACAAAAATTAGTTTTAGTTAGAACTATGTGATTCCAGACTTACCATATTCATGCATGACTTTTAAGAGATTGTAGCTGTTTGCATAAGATATTTGTGATGCTTCTGGATGAATTTCATAATTGCTCCTTATATGAAAACAATGATTTACAACCAGTGGAGCAAACTACTCAGGAGAAACTAACTAGCTAGGGGATGAAAACAATGATTTACAACCAGTGGAGCAAACTACTCAAGAGAAACTAACTAGGGGATGTCCTTCGCAGGTTATTCAAAAAGCTATCTGTGGAAATTGTACTAATATTTTGCTGACCATAGGGGATATTCTTCGCAAGCTATTCAAGAAGCTATCTGTGGAAAATATACTAATATTTTGCTGACAAGTAGCCATTTTACTTAGTGTTTGGTCAGAGATACTAGCTATCCCAGCCCACATCCCTAAAGGACATCACTACAAAGTATAAATTTGTTGGAAACTTGGAAATGGTAGGTTCATAACCAACAGCATTCTGCTTGTAGGTTTAGCGTCAGTACTTGGGATTTTGCATTTATATGCTTTTCCTCAATAGGTTTAGCATAATTTAGTGATCCTTCTTGTGTACCTCACCTTTTATATTAGATGAAATGCACATATTTTTTATTAGTGTCTATCATTCAACCGTGTAAACAACAGATAATAAAAATTATGTACAGGCGGCGCGCCATTGGCGCGCCCCAGCATCTAGTAAGATTAAAAGATGGAGGAATTTTTTTGAAGTTGTCGTTTGTGTAAGCTAATGGATAAAGGGAGGAATATGGATTAGACTTTTGTAGGATTAGACTTTGTTGACTTAGGCTTGGAATGACCAATGGGTACAAGAAGGCCCCAAAGCTTGCGCTCCAATTTGTGCCTTTCAGTGCTTCTCAAAGATCAAGATCTAAGCGCTGAAAATGCCATCATCAGCCCATCACATTTATCTCTCAACAGTTTGTGAACGCAGCTCAGCATGTTTACAGTTCAATTTGACGGTGTGTTACGGTTTGACATTTTAGTAGGTTTTCAACTTTGGACTCTGCCTAAGTATTGCGTGCCAAAAGCTCTGCTGTGGAAATAGATTGCAGTAGAGGCTTAATCTATGTGATGGTGATGCATGGGCCAAAATATCATATTGCGAGAGAGGCAATCCATTTTGTCACAAGAGTCTCTCTCAAAAGGTCCAGGTTGTCCACAAGATTACATTTGACATGAATTTATATCAGCGATAAATTTTAGTGGAGAAGAAATGCAGAGCATGTATGAAGCCTACATTCTGCCGATCGAATTCTATAACAGGAGAATTTATTACTAAATAACAACCTTATTTAGATAGATACTTCAACAGATTTATTGAAGAGGAGGCCAAGTCTTGGATCGATGGTCCAATATATTCGTTGACAGTCAGCTTAGATGCCACTCCCAAGTAGAGCCATCAGGAAACTCTTGTAGTCACCAGATGTATCGTTGCCGATGGCTTTCTCCAGGGCAACCGAGGCCCTCTTCTGGAACGCGTCCTTGATGCCCTTGAGGTCCTTCTCCGCGTGCAGCACGATCACACGGGTCAGGCTGTCCTCGTTAGTCCCTGACTTGTGCATCGCGTTCCTTAGCACCTGCATGCATGCGTACATACGTGCACAATTTGCAGACGCGAAATTCAGTTCAGCTTCAGTTTATCTATCTCGATGCTTCGCTACTACTCCAGCTAGCTAGCTCATCCTCACCTTCACGAAGTACTTGTTCGCATCAGAGATGCACCTTAACGCGGTTCGCAGCGCGTGCGAGTAGCCTGTTGGATCAGCTCCATGCTGCAGTGCCTGGTGATCAAAACGCGGAGCATGCAGCTGCGTTAACCATCAGGCATATTATATATTTGGACAGAGGAAGCTCAAGTAAACCTTGGTGATACTAGTGCCGCGCTCATCTCTGAACCAGCTGAATGTGGCGTTGAGCTGCGCTCTGCTTCTTGTACCGACTATCCGAATGAGTTCGCCGTGATCTGTGTCACCATTCGTTACAGTCTCATGGAGAATCTTTGCCTCCGATTTAGCCAATGCATCGTTCACCTCGTCCCCGTCGTACCTGTAGGTGCTCACTAGAGCAAGCAGAAGCTGAAGCAGACGAGGATACGTAGTAGATTAATTAGCTCGAAGCAACAGGGACGATGAAACACATAACAGAGATATTCTGTACTAGCGAGAGTACGCACACTGCGAAGATTTCCAGTGGCGCGAGCGGCCACGTCTTCTTCTAGGGAGCACTTGTAGAGGACATGGTAGGTTCGTTTTACCGCTAGAAGCTCCGAGGACGAGTTCGTGCACGCGATCTCAACGATGACAGCGTAGTCCTCGTGGATGCATTTCGTCGCGGTGTTCACCATCACGGCCTGCCTCTCAACAGGGTCAAGTACCCAGTGGTACATCGCTCTCTGCAGTTAAATATAGTTAGAAGGGGGAAAGAAGAATCACATACTTAACTAGCTTTGGTTTAACTAATTTGAGTTCTTGTGGTGTGTTTATGAAGATTTGCAGCACTCTTACCTCCAAATCACCAGAAAGTTCAGACTGAAGACGCTGGATGAGGTTTTCGTTGTAGTTCTCTTCATAGGTCAGTCTGATCTGCTTCCTCTGAGTTGCGTCCCGGTGAGCTAATACGCCTATTACTGCCTGCTCATCAGTGCCCCAGCCTGCACCATAAAAATAGTTCACTGGATCAACAAAGTTTTTCCGATGGAACAATGCAAAGAGAAAACAGTGCTAGTGTTGAATAACTTTTCGTTTCTGGAAGGCTGGAACTAATAACTTGTTCAGTCTTTACAATCGAGACAAAAAGGGCATTTAATTTTTTGCCATTTTTAAGATGTGGCAGTTAAGAATTTATCACTCGTTGTCTATAACATATGGGTTCTCGTGTATCTACGACATGTGGGCACAATTTGAAGACCCTTTTATATGCAAATAATGAACTTTTGTCACCAAATATTTGAACCTAGTTTTCCAGTAAATTTCAGTCACATTTGTACCCGTTTGATTTTATAACCTATGGTGGTAGATAATCCATGTTTTCTGCACAAACTTATTGAGCAATTTGAACGGGTTTGGGCTTCTGTTTGTTACCCCCCGATTTGTGGACTTCTGCGCTAGCTATGTCGGCCTTATTTTGTAGCTTTCTGGTATGGTCTTCCATCTTAATAAGTGGGCTTCATTCGACTTAAGAAATTTTACGTGTTTTTGGAAGGAATACCAAGCCTGAACAAAACAAAATAAGTACCTTCACGAAAACACACTAGGCCATACACATGAGGAAAACCAGGTGATTTCTGTGCTTTGTTGTGGAAATCGCTAAGTACTATTTTCGTTTTAAGTTAGACGTTTTGACTTTGGTCAAAGTCAAACTGTTTCAAGTTTGACTAAATTTATAAATAAATATAGTAATATTTATATTACTAAACTAGTTTCATCAAATCAATAATTGAATACATTTTCATAAAAAAATTGTCTTGGGTTGAAAATGTTACTATTTTTTTCTAAAAACTTGGTGAAACCTAAAGCAGTTTGACTTCAAAATGTTTTATAACCTGAAATGGAGGGAGTAAATTTTAATATATTTTTTAGATAATCGAGTTAGGAGTAAAAAAAAATGATACCCACACTTTAATGTGAAACATTTTTTTATTTATTTTTAAATATATTACAAAAAGATAGATCTATGGAAATATTATGGGTGATGTCATGATGATTGGATATGCTTGCATGTTAATTTATATAATTAAATATATTGTAGATGATATTGCATGCATACATGAGATTAAATATATAATTATAGCTAGTGGGTGATAATGTGGCATGGTTTTATGTTAAGCTTTAGACTTAGCGGGTTGTAAATTTATAGAAATTATAGATGAACAAACAATTACAAAAGAGTATTACAACTAACAGGGTACAATAGTTGGTACAAAGAAATATGATAAATATTATTTAAAAATTTTCTATACCATAGAGTAAAAAGTTGCAGTATGTATAATTTACACCGCAAAATATAACAAACGTATAAGCAATTTGAATTGATTATATTTCTATTAAGAGCGTGATCCATGTATTAAAAGAAAACGGCTATAATTCATTTATCCGGACACAAAAATCCTTTTGCCTTTGTTAATTTCCTCAGTATAATTGTAACGGGTGAAGATATGAACAGCATTGTACCACTGATGTAAATCTGCAATATTTAGCTTCTCTAGCATGTTTGGTTTGTTCGAAAGTCTACAAATGAAAAATTTTTGCAAAAAAAAAAAGGTAGCGAAGAAATTTCAATTGTAACTGATGATAAATATCATGTGCGATTTGTGAGATAGAAAAAATTAGCATGTTCTATACTTAATAGATGAGAATACAGGCAGGATAAAAGAAATTTGATTAAGATTTAACATCGCATTGATTGGGATGTGATTACATGCAAAACTTTAGCTATATTCACGATAAAAATGAACAAACAACTGAAAAAACAGAACAACTAACAAAGTAATGGTAGAAACATTAAGACAACGAAATATTACTAAAAAGTTAAAAAAAATTCAACTGTATGATATACACTGAAAAAAGAAAACATAATCTGCGGGATTATATTTTTTTTCACATTATAATATATATAAATATATAAAACCACCCTTTTAACTATGATTTTCCTTGATAATTACATTGGTTTATTTTAAAACTAGGGGATTGTCCCCGCAGTTTTGCACGGAGCTTGATATTTCATGTATAGAGTTAGATTAATATGCAACTGAAATTTTATCTCTATAGTTATCATAATGTAAGTATATTTGGATTTTATATACATATCTTAACTTCTATTTCAATAGATATAATTGTATTTTGTATACAACTATATCAACCAATCTGTACCGTTGAGAATTTCTAGATTGTAGAGCGAACGTGGTGCATGCTTTTAAGGTTGTCTTTAATACTACCTATGTTTTTTAATATATGATGTCGTTGACTTTTTAATCAATGTTTGACCATTCGTTTTATTCAAATTTTTGTGCAAATATTAAAAAAATTTAAATCATCCTTAAAAAGCATTTGATCATAAATCAAGTCATAATAAAATAAATAATATATGTATATATATATTTAATAAGACGAATAGTCAAATGTATCTCAAAAGGTCAACAGCGTCATACATTAAACAACATGGAGGATAGATAGATTTTATAAACATATGGGATGTAACAGATCAAAATAACAACTGCGGCCGTATGAAAAAAGAAGAAAATAAAAAGGAAGAACATTGTATCCAAAAGGGCACACTTTGGACCCAACCGCTGTTGCTGTGTTTCCTCGATTAGCCGGCTTCTAGTTCCTCAATGTGCACATCTAGTCCGTGTAAATGCACTAGTCAGACCACTATCTATCATCTTCTTCCTCCAGCCGATAGATCTACCACAACTAGCGGTGCAAACACAATGGTGTGTTGTGCAGGAACATGACCTCGGATTTCTCTAAAGAGACAAAACACATGCAAAAAATATAATCTAGATCTACGGATTTGGGGGTGAAATTTTTTTTAACGCACAAATGAATTGCACGTTAATATATTAGTTGTTTGGGGGGGTGTTGAAAAATGAGCACCTAAAATTGCAACAAAAACTAAATATCGTCAAAAGGGCCAAGGGCCCCTGGTGAACAACGGGAAGACGTCGTTGGCGAGTCGCGAGCCCATCTGCAGGAGGATTAATGGAGAAACTTGAGAGATCCATCGTAGAAAACTACAAATCGAGCTCCTGGTATGGAGCCTCTCTTTTCTTCTCGAAATCATCCACATAGGAGTTAGGCGTTATTCGATACAGTGAACAACAGTAGCACAGAAACCCACGAAAGAAACTCTAACCAAATGCATTACCATATTTGACTTAAAATTTGACTTAAAATTTGCTACATTTTAGATGACTGAAATCTAGCAAATACCTTGAACCTAATGCATTACCATATAGCTATAAACTAGCTAGAACAACGAGAGATGGAATACTACAGATTATAACCTTGGAAAGCCTTCAGGAGTGCATCAGCATCTTCAGCAGGAGAAGGGGTAACTGGAGGAACTACTATCGTTGCCATCACTCACCTTATTCTTTCTCCAGGTATATATTATTTGGTTTCGTCGAGCTTTATGTGGTATTTATAGATTTGTCGTGGCAACGCCTTATTCAACCACATGGAATTTAATGAGAATAAGAACCTCCCATAAAACCTAATGGCAATTTAACGTTACTGTACGAACTATATATTTTGCCTGGTTTAACCATGCAAGTAACGGAAGTTACACTACAGCATTGTCTTCACTGTTCCCAGATAGTACAGGTCTTGTTGTGTAGATATTATGGTCTGGCCAGCCGGTACAACACTGAACAAATTAAGGCAATTAACACGAATAAGTATCAACGATTTTGCTTTAGATGTGTGGACACATGCATTTCTCTAGATATCTTAGTCAAATTCGCAATGTTTTTTCCCCACAAAAAAAAAACAACCGCAAGTGTTATATATAAGCTTTTGAGAGATTTGTACGATATATAGGCCAACTGGATTTAGCGTTCGGACCCCATTCAATTTATGTAGGCCTGGATTAATTATAGGACAATTTTGCTATATATTTGTCGATAAATTTTCTTCCAAAAATTTGACGGATGTAATTACACTACAATCGTAGTGTAATGACACTGCAACTTGTATGCAATTACACTGTAACTATAATATAACTTGTATGTAACTTTCAAAAATCTCTCCGTAACTTGTTATTTGGGTAAAATGAAGGTTGTGGGAACAAATTCTTTCACATATGTGTGTGTTATGATTTGTTTTCTTCCTCACCAAAACAAATCTTGTAATAGATCTAACGATTCAAAATTACATAAAACTTACATATAAGTTACGCTGTAGTTACATAGAAGTTACAGTGTAATTATATATGAGTTACAATGTAATTACACTACGATTGTATTATAATTACATCTGTCAAATTTTTAGAAGAAAATTTGTCGACAAATATATAGGTGGTCCGCTGAAGCTAGTAGTTTGTTGACGCACGGGCCTGTATATGCAAATGGGGTACATAAATTGCATTGTTGGCCTGCTGCCAATATGGTTTCAAATGACACTAGTTAGTTGCCTATATATGCGTTGTAATGAGAAAAAAATTATACACTCTTGTTGCAACATTATTTTAGCACACACAATACTTATGTCCCATCTTAATGGTTTTCACATGTTAGTAACATAAACGGCAAAAAAATTAATAAAAATGAAATAGAACAATACATCATTATTTCGGGTTATCAAGTTCGCTTCATCTCTAAGAGAAAAAGGAAACAGCTTCCACTTTAGAGTTTCATGTGTCATGACGATGGATAGGCATGAACACACTAGCTCAAAGTCCCGAAGATGGAAGTATATGTTTTCACCAATACTCCTGGAGAAGATTTGCTCTCGAATCAAGGCAATAAAGCTAGGACCAATTTTGTAACCATCCGAAAGGATTGGTTTTGAAGAACATGATGGCTCACAAAGATCAACCCGAGGAGCAGAAAGGAATAAAAGAAGAAGGAATAAAAATAAAGATACGAGGATGACCTAGACTCGGATAAATTAGCAACCGTTCCCCGGCAACGGCGCCAGAAATGTTTATTGGTATTTCTTATGACCACAGATAAATCCACAAGCGCACGGAATACCGCTGTAGCATTTCACCTTCGGGTAACCCCAAAAGGGTATTGAGCTCAGGGAACGTGTGTAATCTATCTAAGGCTAAGATTATCCAAGGACAACAACTAATGGTAGGCTAGCTAGGCTAGACAGGACTTTCTATGTGTTTTAATTATCTAAGCTAAGTGAAGGTAATTTTCTGCTGGTCTACTAGCGTGGTTCCGGCTATAGCTCTATGATGTACCCGAACGTGGAGGATTACTAGGATGAGATTCAGAGCTGTCACCACCTGCCGTCTACCTCTGACAAATCTGTAGGATACAGAACAAACAAAAGGTAATCTCTAACCTAGACACCACGCCTAAGTTATTAATTATTACTCTAATACTTGCGCAGGAACTTCCTTCTTTATCAAGAGTCCTAGTACTAGAGCACTTAGTATGAATACTAAACAATGAACCCGCAAAGATGGAAACCTATCTCACTTAGACTAAGTAATTAAATAGCACAAGAAAGGATCTCGAATACTTAATTTATAGAAGAAATTTCTCCGAACCTTGAGCAGAGCATACCGATAGCTCCGATACTCCTCCAGAATTCCTCCTAGAAAGCTACACTCATCAAGGCAGAAGTCAGAGAGAGCGCCAAACTTTTGGGCACTCCTCTAGAGCTTCTCCTCACTCTCTACCTATTTCTAATGTACAAAAGATACAATAGAGCCTCTTGTAATTCAGCTCAAAGTTGTGTGTTGGTGAAGTGAGATGAGCTCCTCCTTTTATAGCCTCCATATGATGGTTACAGCTATGTGAAATGTCCAATTTGCCCTCCAACCATCATTGTGAAGTCATCAGGAACGTACACGTGGAAGGCAAGGATGAGGGGCGCCTATGGTGGTTCGACCGAACCCTGGGCCCCACCTCCTAGCCTCTCCTTTGGCAGGGACACTGACTGGTTGGCCCTGATGGCGGTTATGACAGTTATGACCCATTCCGTGGCAGTATCACCTGACTTGTGGGCCCTCCAATCCGTGTACTTGCGTCTGATTGGCCGGAGGTGTGTTTCCTTGTATGCCGGGTGTGTTTTCTCCTTAAAATACTTGCATACACATATTTCACCAACACTAGTGGAATTGATTAGTAATAATCCCTACCACTAAGTTGGATACCACATTTTATTTCATTGTATGCAAGTATTGACGGTCAGATATTATGATTTAAGGACCGTCAACAGTAACCTCATTCCTTCGTTCCAACAAAATCTAAAGAACTCACAACTCCAATGAGGATCAAACTTATCACCTTGACAATATTCTTCATCCTGATCACCTTGATAATATCTATCATCTCGGTGATGTCTAAAATTCTGAAATTCCTCTGAACTTGTTTGTCATGTCTCTTCTGGTACTTGTTAATCAATCTAATGCTATCAATCATGGCATACACCATATTTACAGGAAAAAGGATGTCCATCAATCTTCATCGACCTTTTTCCATCATCAAACTTGATTCTTCCTTGTTCGATGGCGGATTGGATTTGCTGCCTGAACACCTTGCACCCATTAGTATGATGAGATCCTGTATTGTGCCACTTGCAAAACTTCCTCTTCTTCAGCTCTTCAGCCGATGGTAGAACATGACCTACTAGCAACTGGATTTGCTTTTCTTGCAACAGTAAATCAAAGATTTTGTTGGCTTTATTGATATCAAAGTCATATTCCTCTTCCTTGTTTATATACTTAACCCATTGACACATAGTTGTCTTCTTGATCATGGACCACTCTGCCAAACTGATCTCTAGGTCTTCCTAGTTGTCTTCTTGATCTTGGACCACTTAGCCAAACTGATCTCTAGGTCTCCTCCTCAGAATCATAAACATATCTATAGACGTAGTTAACCTTCTTGACCTTCTTGGCCTCCTGAAAACGTTGCTCATGAGCCGATACCTTCTGAGCCAGATGTGCTAAGCTCTCAAAGTCTTGTGATGAAAATTTCTCTCTTATCGACCCAATCAATCACTGGAAAGCCAAATCGACTAGCTGTGAATCGGTGTTGACGGTCGTTATCGATCAGTTGCGACCGTCAATATAACCAAAATTTAGGAGAACTAGTGATGCTTGCAATGCATATATCTGTTAAAATAATAATATTCCACTAGTATTAGGTACAGTAACCTTTTGCAGAGAATGACAATAAAGTGGAGGAGAATCGACATCAACTCAGACGATAAACCAATCGGACAGTGTCGAGAACCAGACTTATGTATGAATGGGCCAAGAACTCAGAAATAACACAACACATTGGGCCAAAATTCACAAGTCTACGAAGGAGGACTACGAAGGAGGCCGCTAGCCAAAGATGGGCTGGGTTGAGCCAACCCATGGTTCGGGGGGTTCGGCTGAACCTCCCGTGGCGCCGATGGATGCAAGGTTTGGATGGACGGCTGGGATTGATCCCCAATGACGGTAGGAGGGTATTACCGACCATTCCAACCGTCGCAACCGTCATTACCTACCTATAAAAGGAGCTCCTCTTCTCACTTCACTCACACACCTCAAGCAATAGCTCTCCCATTTCTCTCAATTTTAGTTTAGTAGTATCTAGCTGGTGGAATAGGAATAGAGTAGAAATCAGGAGTCCGGAAGTCTTCGGAAGAGTTCGGGTATGGCTCTAGCAGCTTTCCTTTCTTCTTTTGTAAGCTTTGTACTTTTATTAAAATAATCTTCTATATACATTTACAATATTGAAATACTTTCCGAGAATATTAGTACCTACTTTACACTATGTTCATGTTATACTGAATATACGGCTAGCTTATCTGGGAGATGCTTTGGTGCGGGTATAATGTTTGCTTATGCAATTACTCTATGTCATGACGATGATATTAGAGTAGTATCTGGTAGTTTAGACGTGGTGTCTAGATTACGGGATATCATTATTTGGGGTTATATATTGCGGATGAGAGGTGGCCGCTTATGGTGATAGCTCAGTACGGGTATTCCTCCGCGCCGGTATATAATCCTAAGTTAATTTCCTGGGGAGGGTATTCCTCCGTATTTAGCCCCGGTTGTATAGTCATGACGGGCTGTCGTAAGAAACTCAGCAGTCAGGGGTGGTTACTCGAAGTAACAGGAGCGCATCGGAAAGAGGGTATTAGCTAGTATATCAGTTAACAAGAATGTATGTGTACTATGTATATTAGAAGTATAGGAATAGATTATCTGTCTCTTTTCTATCCACTTAGCTTAGATGATTTATCATGAGAATGAGTAGTTCATGCTTGTGTGTCACTCTACGCTTTGATTATCTTAACCCCTGTTTAGAATACGATTATCACAAGTAATATATAAATTATTAGTCAAGCTCTCTCTACATGATCTTCCCACGGGATAAAATAAATACGATACCCTTAGAATACTCTCGGGTGAAATGCTATAA